AATCAGGATTTGTTTTTATTCCCCGAAAGAGTCTCCAGAACGTGCAAACAGATTCCAGCGTTGCAGTTTGTGACACAGTCCAGAAATAAATGGTGTCAGCTGTGTTGAAGCCTCGTCAGCCGCCTGCAGACGGTTGGTTAATGAGGCTAACAGTCCGAGTCAGAGGCTGTGTTAGTTTGTGTTGGTGTGTGTTGGTGTGTGTTGTGGTTTGTGTTGTGGTTTGTAGGTCATGTGTTCTGGAGTGTGAAGCAGAAAATGTCAGTGGAAGAGCTTCTGTTTTCTAACCAGCAGGTAGCATCTGTTGGCTTTTAACAAGACGAGGACGTTGCAGGACAGCAAACAACTCGTTACTCAGAGAAAGGATAATTAAAATAAATAGACTAATGGGACAGGAGTTGGCAGCAGCAGCGTGCTTGGATTCTGGGAGGCTCTCAGCGTCAGAGGATATAATTATTTCTGATGTTCGACACAAAAATGTTGATAAATTTGCTCAGAAATTAGAGAAAAAGCCTCAATTAAAATAAAAATAGAAATACAGCACAGACGTAGTTTCACTGCATGTTGGTGTGTTTGTCTTCGTCAGGACGGGAACGTTGGAGCTCGGAGACAAGCTGCTGGCCATCGACAACATCCGGGTGGAGAACTGCTCCATGGAGGAAGCTGTTCAGATCCTCCAGCAGTGCGAGGAGCTCGTCAAGCTGAAGATCCGCAAAGACGAAGATAACTCAGGTACCGTTTGATCCGTTCCACAAAGCAAAGAAGCCGATTGGCAAAAACAACACCAGCAGCAACTCCCAAAACTTCCTCAGAGACTCTTTAAACCTCTTCAGGACCTTTCACATGGTCCCCAGTAGAACCTGTCTAAGGACCTGTAGGAACACCTTGAATGGGTGAATGAATGAATCCAGTACCTCTGAAAACTTCAGCAACTGCTTAAACGTTCTTAATAATCTTTTTTTACAAGGACGCCATGCAAGTTCTCTAGACCTCAAGTCTCAAGGACACCTAGAACCTCCTAGAGGACCTTTAGGGTTTTCTACAAGGGTCTATGTGACATTTAAAACCCCCTCAACAACCCTTAACACCTGTTCTGTGGCTCTTAATCTGGTATTAAGTGAAAGAGGTCAAGAAACTTTTGAAGTTACTAAAGAATGAGTTTTAAAAGTCTGAAGAACACTTGGAAACTAATCCTGGGACTTTAAGAACACCTACAGCGTATTGGAGGGCCTTTAGGGACACCTAGAATAACATCTAAAACATCCTTTAAGATCTGTTCAGAGACTAGTTAAAATTCAGTACTACTAGAACCTGGTCAGGAACCCCTAGAAGCCCATAAAGACTGTTTACTGTTGAAGATCCTCAAATACATCGAGAACGTAATCCGGTATCCCAGAAGCCTTGAGAACCCCTAGAACCTTTCAAGGAGCTCCAGGCACATCTTGACCTCAACAAGTTTTATTGGCGCCTAAAACCTCATCAGGTATTACTAGAACCTTGTCAGGAACCTCAAGTCCTCAAGGACAACCAGAAGCTAATCCAGTACCTCTGACATCTTTAGCACCTGCTTAAAGGTTCTTAACATCCTTTAGGGCTTTTAAGTTCTCTCAACCTCACATCTTTAGAACACCTAAAAACTTACCAAGGATCCCTGAAACCTGTTCAAGACCGACTAGAACCTCCTGGGATCTTTTACTGACCTCCTGTTCTTTCCTCCAGGACAAACTGTACATTCACAGCCTGTTGATAAACCTTCCTGCCGTCTCGTGTCCCTTCGTTGCGTGTTTTCTCAGAGTTGCTTAACCTGCTGCTGAATGAACCTTTATTGAACGTTCCAGATGAACAGGAAGTGTCCGGCAGCATCATCTACACGGTGGAGCTGCAGCGCTACGGAGGTCCGCTGGGAATCACCATCTCCGGCACCGAGGAACCCTTCGACCCGATCATCATCTCCTCACTGAGCAAAGGCGGCCTGGCTGAGCGGTACGACAGACAAGCCAATAAATCCAATACAGATTCTACAGCAGCCGGAACCGAGCATCGTTTGTTTAGTCTCTTTAAAGTCCAGATCACATTAATTCATGAGATGTGTCAGTAATTAGCACCAACAAATATGTAAACAAATTCATGTTTGAGTAGCTATAAGAAGCTTTAAGAGGAAACATCAGCAGTCAGAAACGTGTTTGATTTCACTTAAGAATGAAGAAAAATAATAACGTTTATTAGTTTCTCTCTTTTCTGTAAAATAATATGAGTGAAGCAGGAATGAACCTCGAAGGGAAACATGACAGATGAGCTCCGATCAGCGGAGAATGTCGCCCCCTGCTGTTAATAATACATAATATTATGACTATATTGCATTTTTACACATTCCTTTAGTTTTGGTTCACTTTAAGATAATTTTTTCCCACATTTAGTAAATTTTATTAGTTTTTTACTGTTTTATTTTCATTTGAGTATCTATTGAATTTCACTAAAATACTGTTTTAAATTCTGTTTTATATTTTTTTGTGTAATATTATCGGCTTAAGTTTTAAATGTTTTGGTTTTTTGACTTAAAACTAAATTCCATTTATTTGCACCGCTTTAGTAAAATTTCAGAGTCTGATGTCTCAGTATTACAGCAGAAAACACTGTAATAATCCACTTTATGTACCATAGAATAGTGTTGGGAATCGATATTTGGGCTTTTGCTAACCTGAACTTGACCACCTTGTCGCTGCTGATTTAACGGCAGAAGCTGAATCCGTAAAACCTCGTTACCCGTTATCACAACGACTCGTTAGAGGATCTAAACGGTCTAAGCTCTTCTAAAAGAAGTCGCCTGAGTGAAGCTGCGTAAACTTCCCTCCTGAATGTTTGGATCATTGTGTGCAGGACGGGAGCGATCCACGTCGGAGATCGAATTCTGGCCATAAACAGCAGCAGCCTGAAGGGAAAACCTCTGAGTGAAGCCATCAGCCTGTTGCAGCAGGCGGGAGAGACGGTGACGCTCAAGATCAAGAAGCAGGGAGAACGTGAGTACTAGTAGAGTACTACTACGTACCGATACACACTGTATATATGTAATAAATACACACTGTATATACATTGTTTATATGTACTAATACACACTGTAAATATACTTATACATACTGTATGTGTACTAATACACACATACAAATACAAACACAAACAAGTATTCATACAAATATAAATGTATACATGTACTAATACACACTGTATACATGTACTAGTACACACTGTCCATGTCCTGCTACACTTGTACATATAAATACTAATGGGTGTCGCTGTTCCTCTGCAGTGTCGAGCCCCAAGTCCTGCGTGATCGGTCCTGGCCTTGGACCCGGTTTGGTGCTGAACCCGGACAACCCTGACGGGGAGGAGGAGCCTGTCGTCATGGTAGCCCCTCCCACCAGCCAGAGGGCGTTCAGCACGCTGCCGTCGGTGGACAGCGCCGTGGAGTCCTGGGACGGATCCAACATGGACGGCAGCTTCACGGCTCCGGGTACGACGCCAACCTCCGACCTCAGACCTTTAACCTTTAACCGAAGTCCGCTGCAGCGTTTAAACCTTTATTTCTCTGTGTGTTTGTGCAGCTCCACCCTTTCAGTCGTCTCCGTACAGTTTCCACGAGTGGCGCAACGCCAAGACGACCAACAGCCAATCATCTTCCTCCGCTCGCCAGCGAGCCAATCCGCTGTCAGATCTGGGTCTGAGCGACGACGACTGGGACCGCCCGCCGCTCGGAGGGTGAGAGACGAGAAAGTCCGTTTATGGAGGCGCAAAGAAACGAAAACGCAGCCCGAGAACAAAGTTAAACCAGAAACGTGAAAAATAAAATGATGAAGTCAAACTAGGATCGAACAGATTTCATGTTTTCTCAGAGACTGAGATGAATGACTGCAGATTGAATGAAACACGACTGATCTGATATAATCACACACGTTCAGATTAAAGATCTGGATTTGACAAAAATATAAAATCTTACAAAGTAAATTCACAAATGAGAAGGTGTTGTGGAATTAAATAAGACTAAACAATAAAGTAAAGCTTCAGAAAGTATTTATTTTGATATAAAATCAACATTTTACCAATAAATTGACACACATTCAGAATCAATGACATGATGAGGAGTAACAGTGAAAGTTTCAGGCTTTGAACTTAACCCTTCCTGAGCTCTGTCTGCACTCAGCTGCTAGCGCTCGTCATTCAAAGCAATGGGAGCGCGTAGCATGGAGCTAACAGCAGTAACAGCAGTGTGTCTCTGTCTGCAGAGGCTGTAATCTGCCCAGCGGTCTAATCTCTGACAGCAGGTACCGCACTGAGCTTTGACCTTTGACCCCCCACAGTCCTCTGTCACCCCCCCGACCTCCAGCAGTAACCCCTCCCCCTCACCTGGTGACCTCTGACCTCACCACGCCGACACATACACCTGCTGACGTGTATGTCGTCGCTGCACATGTCGTCCTGTTGAAAACACTCACCAGCATGACCAGTCCGTCACCAGCCTCCTCTGTGTGTGTGTGTGTGTTCGTGTGTTCTTCTTTCTGATTGGCTGACCTTTCACCTCTCACCCCTCCAGGTTCACTGTGGGCCACGATGGGACAGAACCGGACCAGGAGGAGAACTTCTGGTCGCAGGCGCTGGAGGATTTGGAAACCTGCGGTCAGAGCGGCATCCTCAGAGAGCTGGAGGTGAGAAAACTGCCAGAGTTGTGTGTTGGTAGTAGAAGAAGAAGTAACAGTTGTAGTATAAGGTGTAGTACTCACAGTAGGGCTGGTTGTACTTATACTTCAGCTTTGGTACCACTCCAGTACCAACAGAATATTGTATGTTAAGGAATATAAAAACACTTCTGTATTCTGTAAATGACGCCCGAGGTTTTAGCTTCTCCCTGCAGCGCCCCCTGGTGGCCGGAGGCCGACGTCTACAGTTTGTTTACATGAGAGTGAAGCTGCTTATTAACCCTCTGAACTCCCGTCACATTTTTACTTACTGTGGACTCATTTTCCACTGCAAAATAAAATAACCTGCATCTCTATGGAAATCTAACAACCTGAAGAAGGAGAGAGAACTCAGAAATGTATTTTTCATTTTACAACAATTGAAAAAAAAATAAAATGGAGTTAACATTTCCACCATACACCATGTTTCCAAAATGAATGCTCCACACACTGTAGATATTTAATTATTTCTTTTTTACATATAAATTATGTAATTTTGGCCATTTTTTAAAAAAACATGCTTTTCAAAGCCACCTGTGGGTTTTGGGGTTCAGAGGGTTCCAATAGCTTTTTCTTACAGATATTTAGTAAAACTCAAAGCGCTGCACACAAGAAACTAAAAGATTAAACAGTTTCTGCATCAGTGGTTTGAGTCATTTCAAAGCTGCTTAATTAATAATTAATTAATAATTTGAGAAAATCAAACTTAGATCTAGAGGTATATAAGATTGTATCATCAGCAAAGAAATGAACATGGAGATATGAAGCAGGAGGTGATTTTTTTTCCATGAGATATTTGATTTTAAGCTTCGATTTCGTTGTTTTTTGTGATGGATACGTGAGCATCTGTCACTTCTTTCTGTTTTTAAACATTCTGTCTGATCAATGGTGTAATGTTTGTTGTTTTTTAACATACCACTCTTTGCAAATCAGTCAGGATGTTTTGATGTTCAGAGGGTTAAACTGGACAACTTTGATGCAACCTAATAACATGATGAGCTCATGATGATGTATTGCCCAGCCCTAAGTAGTAAAAGTGGTAGTTTAGTGGTATTTGACGTTTTGGTGTACGTGCTGAAAGAACTTCATGTTTCTGTGGAGACGCAGCAGTAAAAAAGAGAACTGACTCCTTCTCTTCCAGGAGTCTGGAAAGGAGACGCACCTCCTCACTCTGGTATCCTCCTCCCTCCCTCCCTCCACTAACTCCCCTCTGTCCTCTGTAACCGGACTTCCAGCCTTGTCAAACATCAGACATGTCCGCTGGTTTTGAATGTGACTCTAACCGCACTCTAACAGCAGCGAGCTGCAGACCATGGTGACGTCATTGTGACATCCTAGTGACATCACCCAGCTTCTGACCAATCACGTGGCAGAGTCATGTTGCACCGGGCATGGCAGTTTGAGCAAGGCATGCTGAGAGAGCTTGCGCAAGGCCTGATGGGTAGTTTGTTTTGCCGGTCATGAAGCAGATCTGTCAGTCATGCATGTGTCTGATGAGTCCTTGATTCTGATTGGCTGAATCAGCATCTGTTGGGTGACGTGAGAAGGCTTGAACAAAAGAGTCGACGTTATTGAACGCCATCATCAAACAGGAAGTAGAATCAAAATACAACTTCTCAGAACAATGCATTTTGGTAGTAGACATTAACAGTTGAGATGAGTGGGTGTCAGTAAATCTATCTGTCAAAACAGATCTTACCGACTGATTCTGACAGTAGAGACAACAGTAGACCCCATCAGTAGATCCTGTTAATAAAGACAACAGTAGACCCCATC